AAAATTCTTCCATACACATTTTCTGAGGATTTTCTGTGAGGGGTAAATAGGTATTAGTATCACTGAGCAGTCTGGTGCTTTCCTTCTCATAATCCACAGTATTCATTAGGACTACTCCCCCCCCCTTTGTCAGCAGATCTTATTGTTATATCGGGATTGTTAGTAAGTGCTTTTAGCACTTGCCTTTCTTTGAAGGTTAAGTTATCTTTAGCCTTTCTTCCTTTCTCCAGTTTCCGCAAGTCCTTCTCAACTAATCTCTCAAAAACCCTAATGGTGTCATTTTTAACTTGTTTGGGATAAAAAATAGATTGTGGGTGGAGATCTGTATGTATATATCTCTCCTCTTCAACCTGTTTTGAATATTTGTTTTCTAAAAAATATTTTTTAACTGTCAGTTTTCTTATAAATTTGTGAAGATCTATAAAAGTGTTAAATTGTGAATTTTTCTTATTGGGAGAGAATTTTAAACCTTTTTGAGTATATTCATCTCATTAATATTCAAATGATAATCCGATAGGTTGAATACACTCTCTGCTCCATCGTTCTCTCCTATATTCATTATAACTGGATTATTTCTCCTCTGTCTTCCTCTCTTCTTTGTCTTTTTCTTTGTATTGGAGAACGTAATGGCTCTCCCCTCTCTCTCCATGATTTCTTTACAGCCATTCTCGTCTCTTCTCTCTTCTCTAAAAAATCCCCTAAAAAATCTTTTCGATTAGGTGAGACAATGGATGGTGTTAAGCATTGGTTAATCCTCGGGGAATTGACATGTATTTCCCTTCAGTCTTTGCACAATCTTTCGTCATTTTGTAAAATATCACTCCTCCGTTTCTCATTTCTTATATGATTGTTCTCTGAATATACACCACCTTTCTGGGGGGATTGTCGTGGGTTATATTTGTATTTCTGTCTCTCATATGTATCTCTTTGAGATTCTAATCCCCTCCTCTCCATTGTTCTCCCTTGATTTCTCAAATGATTTCTGGAATTGCTGGAGGAATGGTGATGATTATAGTAGTAGTGTGCACTTTCTTGTACATCTCTTACTGGATTATACCTCTTCTTCTCCATCCCTCTCACTTGGTTTTTCCAAAAATGTTCTCTTCTATTTGGAGTTCTATTTTTCTCCCATTGTTGGTGTGTAGCCCATTCTGATTTGGTATAATTCTGTTTCTTCCAATTTCTTTGTACTCCTTTGTCATAATCTTCTTTATCTCTCATAATTTTTCTCCTTTTGCCTTCTCCTATTTTATTGTCCAAATCTTTTACTTTTCTCTCTATCTTGTCAAGTAATTCTGCATATAGTCCATTTTCAGTTTCAGGAGATAAGTCTGTTTTAAGTTGTTCAATTTCAATTTCTAGTTGTTCCAACTCTTTCTTTTTTTCCCCAATTAGAAAGATAATTAAAAGTAGGGACCCCTTGTCCAGTAGTTGGTCCCATTTTTTCAATATATTCACATCTTTCTTTTTGTAGGCTAGGGGTTTTTGTAACCTCAATCCCCTTGGTACTAAATTGTTGGCAACATAGAATTCGAAACTTGTAATATCCCACCAGATTTGAGCTTCTTTTTCTAATAGGTCTCCTAATTTGTAGATTTTCAATCTGGTACAAGTTGGTTGAGGTGAGGGAGTATGATCATTAACCCTCTTTGTTCCATTCATCTCATTAGACATCATTTGATGAAATGTGTTTCTCCTGTTTTCTCTAACAAAATTCAAATTTCTATTTAGAGCCATATCCTCTCTTTTGTTGGTGGTAAAATAGACAGCAATAAGATAAAACTTAGTAGATATATACCAAATAAATTGGCAGAGTATCTTTCTAGGATTTAAAAATAAAGGTTGGATATGGCTACCATAACCACTGATTCACTAGTAAAATAACCACCACCAGGGGTTAAACAATCGAAATGAAACACACTAATTGAAATAAATCAATTAAAAACATACAGGATTCAGTGGAAATGAGAATATATAGAGCACTTCACAGTAAATTAAAGTTAATTTTTGCTCTCTTGTTTTAAATGTATCAGCTGATCATATCATCACTACCTATTAAATAAGCAAGGCAGAATCTATGAGCTGCTGAAAATAATCTAATATAGGTTTCAATAAATTTTGAATCCTATATATATGGCTGGGTAATATAAGTGAAATAAAAATGAAATAGGATAAAACCCCTCCAAGGGTTAAAAATGTAATGTAGCAGACAGATACTTTTCAAAGTTTATTAATATATGAGTAAAAATGCTACAAATATATGTAGCTATCAATAAGAGTCCCCAAAAAAGTAGCAAGTTAGACAGCACCCATACCAGGTTAACAGACCTCGAGCCCAAAGGATATTGTGATTACTTTCTCGCCGGCCGGACAGAAGTAAATGGGATTTTCTCGTGCTGTGTGCCGCTGGTTTCTAGCCGTGTGCGTTCCACTGCGGCTCAGGATGCGTGTCAAGGATGCTCACTCTCGGGATCGATGTGTGTTTGCAGATGCCGCCTTACGCGTTTCGTGATTCTCGATCACTTCGTCAGAGGATGGCATCACGGAGTCTGCAGTCTTCTTTTTATACTTGTTCTGTCTGTCTCCAGTAGTATTGAGTTAACCCTTGCTACGTCCATATATAGTGTTGCAATTCAAATCAGTATAATACATTGTTAAAAGAATGTAACTACACATAAAATCCATAGTGAGGAATATGTACCTATATATAGGGTCTATAAAGAGGGGAAATTATAAAAGGCAGTTTAAAGGGGGACAATATAGAGAGGGACAATATATAAAAAAGGGGGAAATGTATAAACAGAATTATAATAAATACTGACATATTAATAGTATGCATGTAATATTAATTAATAAAATAATCTAATCATCTAGTACAAATACATAATAAAATATTTAATAAAATATTTAGTAAAATATTACGTTTCTCATAAATTCCAGTAATCACTAATTTCAAAATTAATAAATGATGATAAATAAGTTATAGGTATATAAATCAACAAATAAATAATACATCTATCTTAAATATAATATAATATAATATCTAAAAATATTTATATTGAAAATACTTTTAAATATTTTAAAAATAAAAATAAAAAATTCATTAAATGTTAATTGATTAACGAATCACCTAGGAAAGAAAAAAAAAAAATTAAAAAAAAAAATTAAAGAAAAGCGTTTAGTTCGAAATCAATATTTAGACCATGGGGCTCCAAACTATTGAGTTGAAATATCCATTTCGCCTCACTTTTATCTAGAGCTTTTTCATAATCTCCTCCCCTCCAATGTAAATTCACTTTTTCAATAGCATAAAACTCTAAACCAGCTGGATTACTGGAGTGGCAGTTTGCAAAATGTCTGGAGAGATTATGTGTGATAAGTCCCTTTTTAATATTGCGAATATGTTCTCCTAGTCTAATTTTGAACTTTCTTTTTGTTCGACCTATATAATGTTTCTTACAGGGACATATTAGGAGGTAGATAACTCCAATGGTATTACAGCTTAAATCGGATTTTATTTTAAATTCTTCGTCCCCTTTCATATTTTCAAATTTCTTTGTTAGACCTGGTTGGGTTGGATTATTTCTACAACCCGAACATCTGTTGCATTTCTGAAATCCACCAGTTTCCTGATTCTTGCTTGATAGTTTGATTTCTTTAATCGTTGGGGCTAATATGGTTTTGAGATTGGGCGCTCTTGAATAGAAAATCTTTGGTCTATCATCCAATATCATACCCAATGAGCTATCTTCTTTAAGGATTCTCCAATGTTTATTAAGAATGTGCTTGATCTTTCCTGCTTGGTTGCTGAATTGTGTGATAAACGCTGGAGTTCCCGTCTCCATTTTTGATGTCTTATTCTTACTTATCAAAGTTTCTTCCCTAGATAATTTCAAAGCCTTATCCATTGCATTAGTCAGCATGTTGTTATCATATCCTTTTTTGAGGAATTGATTCTTCATCTCCTCCATTTGATTTATACAAATATCTAATTCTGTACAGTTTCGTCTTATCCGTCTGAACTGTCCATAAGGTATGTTATCTAGCCAAGTTTTCTTGTGATGGCTGTCCGAGGGAATAAAGCTATTACAGGCAACAGATTTTTTAAATGTTTTTGTACAGATCTTCTCCTCTTTAATGTAGATTTCTAGGTCCAGAAATTCTACCGAAATTTTTGAATGATTAAAAGTGAACTTTAAATTATAGGGATTAAAATTGAGGTAATTCTTGAATTCATTAAGAGAACATAGATCGCCTTTCCAGATAAAAATACAATCATCTATGTATCGCCGCCATAGGACCAGGTTTGCACCATGTGTAGTATTGTTCCAGATAAATTCTTCTTCCCACTTTCCCATAAACAAATTCGCGTAACTTGGTGCAAACCTGGTTCCCATGGCGGTACCCTCTGTCTGGAGATAAAACCGCTGTTGTGCCCAAAAAGTGTTATGACTCAAAATAAATGCAATTGCTTGAACAAGAAATTTTTTTTATCTTCCTAGGTGATTCGTTAATCAATTAACATCTTAATGAATTTTTTATATTTTATTTTAAAATATTTTAAAAGTATTTTTAATATAAATATTTTTAGATATTATATTATATTATATTTAAGATAGATGTATTATTTATTTATTTGTTGATTTATATACTTATAACTTATTTATCATCATTTATTAATTTTGAAATTAGTGATTACTGGAATTTATGAGAAACGCAATATTTTACTAAATATTTTATTAAATATTTTATTATGTATTTGTACTAGATGATTAGATTATTTTATTAATTAATATTACATGCATACTATTAATATGTCAGTATTTATTATAATTCTGTTTATACATTTCCCCCTTTTTTATATATTGTCCCTCTCTATATTGTCCCCCTTTAAACTGCCTTTTATAATTTCCCCTCTTTATAGACCCTATATATAGGTACATATTCCTCACTATGGATTTTATGTGTAGTTACATTCTTTTAACAATGTATTATACTGATTTGAATTGCAACACTATACATGGACGTAGCAAGGATTAACTCAATACTACTGGAGACAGACAGAACAAGTATAAAAAGAAGACTGCAGACTCCGTGATGCCATCCTCTGACGAAGTGATCGAGAAACACGAAACGCGTAAGGCGGCATCTGCAAACACACATCGATCCCGAGAGTGAGCATCCTTGACACGCATCCTGAGCCGCAGTGGAACGCACGCGGCTAGAAACCAGCGGCACACAGCACGAGAAAATCCCATTTACTTCTGTCCGGCCGGCGAGAAAGTAATCACAATATCCTTTGGGCTCGAGGTCTGTTAACCTGGTATGGGTGCTGTCTAACTTGCTACTTTTTTTGGGACTCTTATTGATAGCTACATATATTTGTAGCATTTTTACTCATATATTAATAAACTTTGAAAAGTATCTGTCTGCTACATTACATTTTTAACCCTTGGAGGGGTTTTATCCTATTTCATTTTTATTTCACTTATATTACCCAGCCATATATATAGGATTCAAAATTTATTGAAACCTATATTAGATTATTTTCAGCAGCTCATAGATTCTGCCTTCCTTATTTAATAGGTAGTGATGATATGATCAGCTGATACATTTAAAACAAGAGAGCAAAAATTAACTTTAATTTACTGTGAAGTGCTCTATATATTCTCATTTCCACTGAATCCTGTATGTTTTTAATTGATTTATTTCAATTAGTGTGTTTCATTTCGATTGTTTAACCCCTGGTGGTGGTTATTTTACTAGTGAATCAGTGGTTATGGTAGCCATATCCAACCTTTATTTTTAAATCCTAGAAATATACTCTGTCAATTTATTTGGTATATATCTACTAAGTTTTATCTTATTGATGCTTGGGATCATTGTCTTGTTGGAAAGTCCAATGACACCCAAGCTTCAGCTTCTTCACAGGGGTCAAGACATTTTCTCCAAGGATTTCCTGACACCTTAATGAATCCATCTTGTTTTTCATACGCTGCAGGTTTCCAGTGCCAGGGCATGCAAAGCAGCCCCAAAGCATCAATGAGCCACCACCATGCTTAACTGTAAGCAGAGTGTTTTTTTCAGCATATGCTTAATTCTTCTTCCTCCAGACATACTGCAGATCCATTGGGCCAAAAAGTTCCAGTTTTGTTTCATCGCTTCACAGAACAGAATCCCAACACTTCTGTGGCTTATTTATATGATTATTAGCATGTTGTAGAAACTTTTTCTTGTGCTTTTGGGTCAGTAGTGGTATACGTTTTGAGGTAATGGAATGGAAACCTTATGTGTTTTAGTACGTGCCTTAAAGGGACACTATAGTCACCAAAACAACTTTAGCTTAATGAAGCAGTTTTGGTGTATAGATCATGCCCCTGCAGTTTCACTGCTAAATTCTCTGCCATTTAGGAGTTAAATCACTTTTGTTTCTGTTTATGCAGCCCTAGCCACACCTCCCCTGGTTGTGACTGACACAGCCTGCATGAAAAAAAAGGTTTCATTTTCAATCAGACGTAACATACTTTAAAAGTTTGTATCTTCTGCTCTGTAAATTGAACTCTAATTATAAACAGGAGGCTCATGTAGGGTCTAGCAAGCTATTAAAGGAACTTGCAATAAAGGAAGTATAAACATTAGATGACTCTTTAAAGGAAGTTTTTAGGAAGGCTGTG